CAGCATTCTTGTAGTATCTTCTTGACTCCTTGTAATTGATTTCATGCATATGTATATTATTTGCATTATTAAAACTGGATCTAACAATCTTACCCTTTTTGATGATGACAAAATAATATATAAATGTAAACACCAGTAGACTTCCCTGTGTTTTACTCCCCCTTAATGTTTGCAGTTGACTGGTCCATAATACTCCCCCTCAATGTATGCAGTTGACTGGTCTATAACCGAGTCGACTTCTATACCTGTACGAATAGAACCTATACTTTTTCTCCCCCTTTTTGGCATCAGCAAAGAGGGAACAGGACAAGAAATAAACATAATAGATAGCATTGAAGTAGAAAAGTTATAGTGATCATCCAATGGCTAGGGAACCAGCCCACAAAAACAACACATCAAAAAATAAAAATTATCCAAAGGCTGAAAACACAGCCCAAAACCAGTAGAGCAAAAGAAATTGTCTTAAAAACATCCACATTAATGGCGTAGAAAGTAAGTAAGGGTGTTGCAGATGGCCTCCTTCAACTGTTCAAAGTTCGCATTGGCTGAGATGCTCATTCCATATAACCTGTCATAAATCTCCCTGAAGGCTTTGACAACATTCTCCCTAACTCTGAGAAGAGCAACTCTAATTTTGGACACATTAGACCCTGTTTCCTTGGAAATAACATGAATTTCACCAACACTAGACTGAGTGGCTGTGAGAATACTTTTGATTTCAGAGAGTTGAGAGTCAATAGCACGAAGTTTTTCACCAAGATCAGGATTGTCAAGACTAGGATAAGGGACAGAGGGTGAAGGTTTGGGCTCTACAGGGGCATGCTTTGCTTCACTATCGTGCTTCTTAACCCAGGAGCCTTTGAAACTCACATATCCCATACTAGAAAAGGCTCTAGAATTGTAGGACTTGGAGACAGTGATGAAGGGATAGCTGGACAGGGAAATTTGATGAGCTTCCAGAATGTGAGGGATTGTCATGCCATAGGGTAGACTGGTGGGATCTTCAGCTCTTTTAATCATGAAATTGATAACCCACGAGGAAATATTGATTTTGAGTTTGGTGACGAGGCAATAGATAAAGAATGTGTCTCTTTGGGAGAAGGTTCAAAAGGAACCAGTACGGGGAAGCAAAGTAGTTGCCACAATGTGGGCCAGAACCCGAGTTTCGAAACTAACATCACTGGGACCTAATTGTTTTGGAAGGGGGTCAAGGGGACACTCAACAATACACTGTTTGGCTTGGTCAAAGGAAATTTCAAAGTCATCAGGCCAGATATTTTTAAACAACATAGGAAAACCAGAACAACGGCACTAAAAAAGCGAATCAAACAGGGCACAGTCAAGAATAATGCGGTTACCTAACACTATAGATTCCAACCTATCAGGTTTACTAGAACAAAGATTTGCATAAAACATTTTTTCCCAGGGGTTCATATACCTTAGGCGGAGGAATAGAGAAGAACTTAGCCCAACCTTGATAAACGAAAAGGTCTTTGACCTCTTCCATGTCGTCAAGGTCGACAACCCTTCCATGAGCAATGGGCTTGTCTTTCAGAGCAATGAAGAAATCCTTATTTGGGGAATCCTAGAAATTGAGGTCAGATTCAAGAGAGGCAGATAAATCAAACTTTGATTTCTTTGGGGTAGACGAAATAGGGGGTTCTTCCATGAGTCGCTTACCTAAAGCTTTTTCTCCTAGGAGTTGTGAGTATTCAGAGAAATCTCCCTGAGAAGAGGCAAAACCTTCAGAGTGATCGGACCCTAGGTCTACTTGTTCTGGGGGCATAGAAGGGGATTTTGCTTTGGAGCAGGTGCTCTTTTTGGTGGAAGCAGAGGGAGTTTTGGAATGTTTGGCCATTGTAGAGAGGAGTTTGATTGGAACTTTTGGAGAAGAGATAGAGATGAGAGTGATTGATAAGGGTTCTCCGCCTTAAGAAGAGGGTTTCTGACAGTTGAGTACAGGAAAGGAAAAGTTGTCAGTTGAAGAGACGTGATGATTGGATTTCCAACTTTGAACTATGAATTGATGTGAAAGAAGAGAAAAGAGAGGGAAAACGGAGGCGTAATTAATGCATGGGTAAAGCACAATTATTTCAAAAAGAACTAACAGTGCATATAGGTCCTAATGGTTATTAGTAATACAAATAATACCAAGTAAATTTCTTAAATCACAAAATCTCTCTTCTAATAACGGTTTAGTAAAAATATCAGCTAGTTGGTCAGAGGTTCCAACAAAAGATATTTCTATGTTTCCCTTAAAGACATGATCTTTAATAAAATGATGCTTAATATCTATATGCTTTGCTCTAGAATGATGCACAGGATTTTTTGAAAGGCAAATAGCACTAGAGTTGTCACAAAAATTTGTATAGGCTTAAACGAAAGTTCATAGTCGCCCAGTTGATGGGACATCCACAGTAGTTGTGCGCAGCATTGTCCAATAGCAATGTATTTAGCTTCAGTAGTAGACAATGCAACTGATGCTTATTTTTTACTATCCCAGGATATTAATTCCTTTCCCGGTAATTGACATGTACCATTTGTGCTCTTTCTATCATCCTTATTACCTGCAAGGTCAGCATCTGAAAAACCTTCTAATTTAAAAGAGTTTGAGCGAGGGTACCATAATCTATGAGATACAGTCCCAGTGAGATATCGAATGATTCTTTTTATGACAGTCAAATGTGACTCCTTGGGAGCTGACTGAAACTTGGCACATTTACATACGCTGAACATAATATCTGGTCGACTTGCTGTCAGATGTTGCAGTGATCCAATAATTCCACGATACTTAGTTTCACCAACAGGAATACCCTGTTCATCTTTGTCTAGATTTGTGGAAGGGCTCATTGGTGTGCCGATTGATTTTGCATTTCTCATACCAAATTTTTGAATCAGCTCTTTTATATATTTGGTCTGACATATGAAGGTCCCTTCTTCAGGTTGATGAATTTGTAGCCCAAGGAAGAACGTGAGCTCACCCATCATACTCATTTCGAATTCACTTTGCATAAGATTTGAAAATTCCTTGCACATGAAAGGATTAGCACTACCAAATATAATATCATCGACATAAATTTGAATAATGAGATTACTTTCCGACGATCATTTAATGAATAAGGTAGTAACTATTTTACCTCTTGTAAATCCATGATCAACAAGAAAGGAACTCAGTCTATCATACTAAGCACGTGGAGCTTGTTTTAGCCCATATAGCGCCTTAGTGAGCTTGTATATATGGTACGAAAATTTTGAATCTACAAAACCTGGAGGTTGTTTCACATATACTTCTTCTTCGATAAATCCATTCAAAAAGGCACTTTTAACATCCATTTGAAACAGCCTGAATCCTTTAAAGGATGTGTATGCCAGAAGAATTCGTATGGACTCCAAACGAGCTACTGGGGCGAAAGTTTCATCATAGTCGACTCCTTCTTATTGTGAGTAGCCCTGAGCAACTAGTCTGGCTTTATTTCTTACAACCTTTCCATCCTCGTTCAATTTATTTCTAAAAACCCACCTTGTTCCGATTACAGACACATTATCAGGTTTGGGTATCAAATTCTATACTTGATTCGTACTGAACTAATCTAACTCATCCTACATAGCTTGTATCCAGCTTGAATCTTTTAGAGCTTCATCTATCTTTTTCGGCTCAATCTGAGAGATCAATGCGATATTTGCTTTCTTGTTGAGAGCTCCCCTAGTTTTCATTCCTTCATTTGGATTCCCTATAATGAATTTTTGAGGATATTCAAGCTCGCTTCTCCATTCATTTGGGCGAGTTACATTTGTAGTTGACTCGATTGGTGGGTCTATTACATTGCTGCTATCTTCACCAGTTGACTTATTTGCAACAGGTGTATCAGTCGACTCTTGCGATTTGCATGTCTCCTGAGTTTCTTGAGCTTGATCTTCATCACCTGCAGTAATTCCTTTCTCGACCAAGGGATTTTCATCGAATATAACATGTACAGATTCTTCCACACATAATGTGTGTTTTTTATAAACTCTAAAAGATCTACTATTTAATGAGTATCCCAGAAAAATACCTTCGTCACTTCTTGGATCGAACTTTCCAAGATTATCCTTACCGTTATTATGGATAAAACATTTACTTCTGAATGGATGGAAGTAGCTGATATTTGGATGTTTACCTTTCCATAGTTCATATGGAGTCTTCTTCAGAACAGGCCTTATGAGGCAACAGTTGAGAATGTAACATGTTGCACTTACACCTTTTGCCCAGAAGTGGTTTGGCAGTGAGTGTTCTAGTAACATGGTTCTTGCCATATCTTGGAGGGTTCTGTTCTTTCTTTCCACAACTCCATTTTGTTGTGGTGAGCGTTGTGCAGAGAAATTATGGGTGTATCCCTAATAAGTACAAAAGTCTTTAAAAGCTCTACTTTCAAATTCTCCTCCATGGTCACTCTGAATTGTTGAAATCAGATATCCCTTTTCTCTTTTAACCTTTTTGCAAAAAACTTCAAAATTTCTTAATGCTTCGTCCTTATGAGATAAGAAAATTACCCAAGTGAAATGTAAATAATCATCAACAATAACAAAAGCATACCTCTTTCCTCCTATACTAGCAGTTCTAGTAGGCCCAAATAAATCCATATGAAGTCATTGCAAAGGTTTTGAAGTAGATACTATATCTTTGTTTTTGAAAGAGTTTCTGGTCTGCTTACCCATTTGACATGCATCACAAATATGAGTTCTAGAAAAATTCAGTTTAGGTAAACCAACAACTAATTAATGTTTGGACAGTTTTTCTATCAAATGCATGCTAGCATGACCAAGTTTCCTATGTCATAACCACGGATCATTAGACATAGAGGATAAGCAAATATGACCATCTATCTTTTCAAAACTATCAAGGATATAACCATTTCCATACCTTTTTCCAGGAAGAACTATTTTACCTGATTCATCTTCAATAGCACATCCTGTTTTCTTAAAATTTACTTCATATCCTGAGTCGCAGAGTTGACTTATGCTCAAAGATTGTAGTTGAGACCATCAACAAGATAAACTTCAGTGATGTCACAATTGTTATTGAAGGGAATTGTTCCAGTACCAATTATTTTGCCTTTTGAATCATCCCCAAACTTAACACTTCCCCCATCAATTTTTGTAACTTCTTTGAACAGGTTTTTGTCACCTGTCATATGACTAGAACACGCACTGTCTAGATACCATTTTCCTTTGCGGCTTACTCTGTGGTATTCCTGGAAAACAAGATGATTACTTTCTTTTAGGTATCCAAGCTTGCCTGGGTCCTGGAGGGTTAGTGTTACCAGGTTCAGGATTTTTTGGTTTCCAAACCCAATCCTGAAACGTTTGATTTACGAAAACGACAAAAGGAATATTTATGCCCACTTTTATTACAGTAGTGACACTTAACTTCTGACCACTTTTAGGTCTTTCATTAGTACTAGTGGACTTGGTTCTGGCTGGTCCTTTTCCAGATGACTTGTAAACCATCTGGTTTGACCTAACAGAACTGTGACTAGTGGATTTGCGCATGCCATTTAGTTGCATTTGCAATTCCTAAAACTCTTCTTGAAGTACTTCCTTTTCGATTTCACATACTTCATGTTTGAGTTTCCAGTCATTAACTTCCTTAGTGAGTCTCTTAAGCTCATTCATCATTTTTTGAGACTCTTTCAACGTTAAATCAAGAATATCCTGCAATTCATTACATTTTCACAGTTATAAGATCTTACCTCACTAGTTTCACCTCGTGCCATGAAACAGTTTTCATTTTCGTCATCCGAAATGTCCTCGTCTGTCCAGCATCCTGAAGATTTGTTCATTTCGTTTTCCAGAATTGTCATAAAGCAAAGATTTGCTATCTCTTCATGGTCTGAATTATCCTCATCGCTCCAGCTTCCGAAGGATTTGTTTTTGTTGAAGCCTCTAGAGATCTTCCTCTTTAGTTCTGGGCACTCAGCTTGAATGTGCCCAAATCTCCCACATTCATAAAATTTTCCATCATTCTTATCCTGCTCGTTGTATTGCCTAGATTGTCTTGGTGGAATTCTTCCTTTCCTTACATTCTTGTATCTTCTCATTAATTCATCCATGTTTCTAGATAACATAGCAATCTCTTCTTGCAAAGCTTCAGGATCATCATCAATTTTGTTTTCAGCTATTTCAATAGAGGTTTTGAATGCAATTATTTTCTTTTTTTCTTCTTGATTGGTCTTGTTGAGATGCGTCTTTTCAAAGGCAATGAGTTCTCCTCGTAGTTCACCATAGGATAATTTGTTTAGATCTTGAGATTCCAGTGTGACTACTTTGGTCTGCCAAGTGGTTGGCAAACTCCTGAGAATTTTTTTGACTTGATTACCACTGGTGTAGGGCTTGCCAAATGCCTTTAGATCATAGTTATTTTGCTAAACCTGGCAAACATCTCTTCAATGGATTCTCCTTCTTTCATTGAGAAGAGTTCGTAATCATGGACCAACATGTTGATATGTGTTTCCTTTACTTTGTTGGTTCCTTCATAAGTGACCTCAAACTTGTCCCACATTTCTTTGGCTGTGTCACAGCTTGATATTTTCTCATATTCTTCACCACTTATAGCATTATGGAGCAGATTTCTCGCTTTGTTGTTAAGTTGTACCACTTTCATTTGCTCTTTTGAATATGAGTCTATATCTTTAGGATCAGTAAGTGGTGGAGTGGCAACTGGTAAAGGATAGTTTCCCTTTTTGATGACTCTACAGACTTTGACATCATAAGCTTTGGCAAAGATTTCCATTCGCACTTTCCAGTGAGAGAAATATTGTCCGTTGAAGTATGGTGGTCTAACTTGTGAAGTTCCTTCCTGAAAAAGAGCTCCTATGATAACTTGATTTTCCATTATCTTTTCTCACAAGCTGTTAAGCAAAAGTAAAATGTGAGCCTTGCTCTGATACCAATTGAAAGTACAAGAGGGGGGATGAATTGTAACTGTTAAAACTTAATTGCTTATTAGTTGACTGATTAATCGAGTAGTCGACTAGATTAATAACTTAACAGTTATAATGACAAAAAGTAAATTGCAGAAGGTAAATGCAGGAATTAAAGACACAAGGATTTTATACTGGTTCAGATTCAATGTGAATCCTAGTCCAGTCCCCTTGGGTTGCAAGGGAGTTCTCTTTCAGTAGATATGTTTCTTCGAGTACAGTTGAAGTGAATTAAAAGCACAGTTTCTCTAGCACTCGTTACTTTTTGATATAATGCCTCACCAGTGTTATACTTTCCTTTTTTTTCTCTGACTTGTCACACAACAGATCTTAGTGAACTACAATGTTTGTTTACAGTATAATAAAGAGAGTAGTTTTTGATTCGATCAAAGTATATCTGACTAGGGTCTAAGGCTGGGTATAAGCACTTTGATGATGATCGAGGCTTGACAACCCAAGAGATTTGATCCTTGGAAAGAGATTGATTCTTTCCAAGAATAAGATAGCTAGCAGTTGCTTTACCTTGATTTCCTTCCTTCAGCAGATGTATATAATGAAGACTTGCTCCTTGATTGTTGGTTCTTCCAAAATTAGTCGCGTACGAATTTTTACAGAATCTTCAATCTTCTGGAATGTTGCCCTCGATTCGTGCCTTAAGTTTAGGATTGCTTGATTCTCTCCATCGCAGTTGGTCGATACTCTTTGCTGATTGATTGGCGGATTGGATTCTTTCCAGATTTGCGAGTCCTTTCCTTAGGCGTCCAGATATGCTGATTGTAATGTAATCTTTGTTGATTGATTTCTTTCCTTAGTCATCAGGATTGACTCCAGCAGTCTTGTAGTATCTTCTTGACTCCTTGAAATTGATTTCCTGCATATCTATATTATTTGCATCATTAAAACTGGATCTAACAAAGTTACTCAAGGCCTCAAACCGCTGAACGATGTGCTAGAGCTCAAAATAATCGATCGGTTTGTTACATTCTCCCCCACTTAAACATATATTCGTCCTCGAACGTACCAAGAAACGCTATGAAATTGCCCTAACCCACTGTTTAACACCTCGTGCACCTACCCGTGCCACCACGACGATGTGAGCACCTTAGCTCGAGATAGACTGAAGATCCTTCCTTTTAACTTAGCCCACAAACCTTAGAACCAAATTCCAACATTCGAAATTTTCTACGAGACCTGATTCTAACATACGAGCACTGTATCAATCCCCACACGCTATATCAAACATGATCATGCACCCATGCTAAAACCATACAAGGCACTGCATAATTCGTATGCCCATAATTACATCCTCCAACCATAGTAGCTGCAAATTCACTAGCCTGATGCATGTAGCATACTCTATAACGCATATGAGCCCGGATCCAAACCTCGTGATACTACAACGATAAGATTATGCATTGTATGACATTTCTCATTATAATTAAAAAAATATTTTTTCGATTTAAATTTAAATGTGTCTTATTTTTCTATTATTTTGCACTGATTTTTTTTTCCTCTTTTTATTCCTTGCATATCGTTGTTGTATTATTAATTATTTAATATTTTTGTCAAATGACTTTTTATTATATTTTCACTTGAACTTAGCTAATTATCAACTAAAAATCTTAAATATTTTTGGTTGACAATCTTATATATTAGCTAAACGAATGCCATCGATTTTTTTTTAAAATTTATTAGTTATTTAGAATGGCCAAAATATTCTTTTAACTCTTTAATTAATTTAAGTCCACATGCCTTTCTAAAAAATTTCAACTGGATACAAAAAACATTCAAGATAATTTTTATAGATAGGAAGAGTAAGATGATGATGAATATACATTTTATATTTGTTTATGACAATGTAAATTTTACCTACTTGGTCAGGTTTGCGATTATCTTTAACTTTTTGTATTTTTGAAATAAAAAAAAATAAAGAAATATCAGCTTCTTAGAGCGTTAAATTGCATATTTTTTATTTTCTTATAATTCTTGTCAATATCTATCGACAAATAAATAAATAATCTCCTAAAAGTAGAAAAAATAAATAATATATATAACTAATTAATGTATAATTAAAATAAAAAATATTCGCTAATTAAAAACCTAATACGTGATATGAAATAAATTTAGATTAATATTTATATTTTTTGTATAATTAAATTCTTGTATGATATATTGTTATAATAAATAGCATGTATAGATTTAATATCCATTGGTCAACTCATCAAGTTCTTTAGCCTATCGATGAATATTACTTGAAACCTTATATATATATATATA